GTGTTACAAGAGAGTAACAAACATAAAAAGGAAGAAGGGGAGATAAGGAGATAATGTTTCATAGGAAAAAAGGAGCAAAAAAACCCAGAACACCTGCCAACCACCCACAAGGCATACTGTCTTTAGCTTGGAGTTATACAGATTCAAAGAAACACCATGTTGATCAGTTGTGGCGTGGGTGGTCTAATGGTTAGGCTGTTGGATTCGCAATGAAAAAGTTGTTGGTTTGAACCCTGTCAAGGGCCCAGTGTTGTGTCCTTGAGAAAGGCACTTTACATGAATTTTCCTCACCTCACCCAGGTGGGAATGGGTACCCAGCTATAGACAAAACACATAAGACAACAGGTTTCACTACTCTAGAGACAAAGTCACAGACAATTTTTCGAAAGACAACAGTCATGCAGGGGTCATTATACACACTCATTCTTCATACACCAGACATCATGCATATGCACGCATTCAAACCATATACACACAGCACACTCCACTACAAAGTTAAAAAAAAAAGGGAACCAAACAGATTAAAAACATTCATGATGCACACATGTACGCGCTTTTACATACACGAAGGAAAAAAAAAATGAACCAAAAACAAAAAAATATTCATGATTCACACAACACACACATGTATATGCCTGTACACACAATTTTTTTTTTTTTGGTAAGACTTTTATGGCACTTGTAACAAAATAAAGTCATATAAGTGCTGAAGATTAGAGGTGTTACAAGGGAGTAACAAACACAAAAAAGAAGGAGGGGAGATAAAGATAATAGATGTTTGATAGGCAAAAAGGAGCTAACCACACCAGAGCAGCCGCCAACCACCCACAAAGTTTTTTTTTTAAAGAGCTGAACGCATTAAAAACATCACTAATACTCACAGCACACACTACATGCAGTAGGCTACACATTTGTACACACACAAAGGGGAAAAACATGATATGTGGATGAGCCTCCTTTCACCCACATTCACACCTAGTGACTTGAACTTCAGACATGAGCAGAACAACAAGAAACAGCTCCTAGATGTGTCCACAAACAAACAACAACACATCATACTTAACAAACAAACAACATAAGATAACATCGTACTCAACAATCAAACAACGCAACATAACAACATACTCAACAAACTAACAGCAGCACAACATACTCAAGCCTCACGTGCCACAACAAGAATAAAATAGAAAAAAGTGACAAGAACTAGTAAAAAAATGGTAACAGCAGTGGTTATGATGTTAAAACAGAAACAAGGACCACTACGTGAAAAATGAAACTGCAGTGACAAACGTAAGATTTTAAAACGTGTATTACTAAGAGTGTTACGGCACTTGCAACACAATTAGGTCATATAAGAGCCAAAGATTACAGTTAGTTTTAGGAGAGGGTTTACGGCGCTTGCAACTGCATAAGGTCATATGAGCGCCAAGGAGTGGATGTCAACAGAGAAGTCCTTACAGGGAATCGGGCTTACTCTGCTCACCTCGATAGCTTCAACAGCACAAAGTCTGCTTCGACTATCAAGGCACCCTGGAAATAGCGGGTCACAAGAGTGTGACAAACATACAAAAGAAGTAGACGAAAATGACGATAGCAAGGATCAGGAAAGAAAAAGCACATGCCGGGGGCCGGGGGGATTAGAGGTGTCATTAGAGAGTAACAAACACAAAAAGAAGCAGAGATCAGGACGCTAGATGTCCAGAGCACCCACCAACCACCCACAAATGTAACATGGAGGATGATGACTTGATGAATAACCATGATAGAACCATTCTTTTTTTAAAAAATTTTACTTTTTTTGCAAAGGCAACATTCCTTTAACAACCCCCTCACCCCCCAAAGGCCCCTAGCCAACCGTTTGTATCAAAGTCTAGAATTTGGTAAAGCAGGTCATAATTCCAGCGTTACGTGTGTCACTGAGGTTTCATTTTTCATGAAATGGCCCAAAACAGAAACTTTAAAAAGTAAAACAACTAAAAAAGACAGAACTGAGCAACGAAAAATTGATAACAACGCAGCAGCAGCAGTAGACAAGATGCAGAGTCAGCGACGTAGGTTCAGGGCCGGTTATAGGATGCAAAGTTTTGTTTGCGTATGCAAAGACTCAAATACTCAAAGACTCAAGGACTCACTTCATCGGAAGTGTCTGCCTCCGTGGTGGCGCTGTCGTCGATAAGTTCCCCGTCCTAGTAGGTAACATAGGCAGGCACACGACATGACATGACATGATGATGACGTTTGAAAACACTGACATAGTACACAAACACATGTATACACATATATATATATATACTGAAACAATCGCATATATACCTAACCCTCCCTCCCCACAAACATTTACATATATACCTACACTCACCCACCCCCCATATCTAGACATAAGGCTCACCCCCTGCCCTAGAAAACACTCGAGAGAAAGACTTGACCTAACAAATAGTGCAGACAACACCCCCCCCCAAAAAAAAAAAATCATCTGTGGTAAGTAGCAAAAATGTTTAAAATGGTGCAAACACAACTGTGTACACACACAATCATCACTTCTATAAATGCCCTGGTGAAGAAATCAACGACAGTCTCCATTGTCATTTTACACAGCAGGTGAGTGAAGACAACTAAGCTCTATGATGTTCAAATTTCCCAAACGTGTCAAATTGAACAAACACAAAAAAATCCCCAATAAAATACAATCAGTAACTTTTCTGTGACATTTCAGGTTTGAAACTTTGTGGCAACTGCAGAGCAGTTTTAAAATGTTTTTTCTGCAAAACGTCAACATCCATTCTCAAGATCATTTAATTTTCAAACAATCGTGCACTTTGCAAGGAGAGGTACAATTTTCTGACATTAAATTCAATAAATTCTCAAAACAAAAATGCAAGACACCCCCTCCATCCCGAAAATTTTATGTCAATATTTAGACATACAGATAGGGCACACGAACATTTCAGTATCTTATCCCATTTCTCGGACACTCCAACCAGTTTGTGGAGCGCTCTCCCCTCTCACTCTGTGTCTCTCTCTCACGCACACACACACACACACACACATAAAAGTATAAGCCTCTTACCTCATTCACCTCCCATCCCTCAGCCTCCCCTGCCAACGTATAATGCTGTTTCCTCAACTCTCCCAATTTCTTTCTCTCTCTCTCCAGTAATGTGTCCAACTCCATCACACGGATCTGAAAAATATACGGAGAAATATTTACAGAAACATACAAAGAAATCAATCTACAAATTTGTAAAGAAATACATAAAGAAATATTTATCCTAGAAAACACATAGCGAAATCAATGGGACACCTAAATACGAATTTCGCAATACATGTGTTTAAAATGGGTAGGTGGAGTTAATGGTATCACCATAAAGCCTGTTCAATTGTCTTGCTTTCCATGAAATAAATAGCCATCTATCTTGAATAGAAGTCGGGATATTTGCGATTGACTGCGAGTGGTCGTCCCATCTTCAACACGGACACTTCTGCAAGAAAAATCGCTGTCCTAGCTCTGGCTGCCTACCCTGCTTTTGCGCGTCCATTGCAAGGGGAAATTTTTCCATTTTTTTCCCCCTCTAATCCAAGATTTTCGGCATACCCTACCTAGAACGCTTTGCTACTGCCATTACAGTGTTCACCTAAAAAATATACAAAATCGATTAAGATGCCAAACCAGCAGAAAAATGCTGATTTCTTCGATTTCATTATTTTGACGAGAGTCTCATTTCAACATCTTACCTCCCATAAATAAGAAAGATTAGAAGTGTTACAAGAGAGTAACAAACACACAAAAAAAGGAGGAGAGATAAGGAAGATATATGTTTGAAAGAAAAGAAGGAGCAAACCACACCAGAGCACCCGCCACCCACCCACACTCACCTGTGCCTGCATCTCCAGTTTCTTGGTCTGGTGCAGAGTGAGCTGTGAGAAGTCCATCAAGTCTGGAAGGGGAGGAAGGGGGGGGGGGTAGGGGGAAACAGATAAATATACATTGATTACTCTGTTTGTTTGGGTGTGTGCGTGTGTTTATGTGTGCATGTGGACACGCGAGAGAGAGAGAGAGAGAGAGAGAGAGAGAGAGAGAGAGAGACAGAGAGAGAGAGACAGAGAGACAGAGGGATAGAGGGAGAGAGAGAGGGAGGGAGGGAGAGAGGGAGGGGGGGAGAAAGAGAGGGAGAGAGAGAAATAGAAAAAGAAAGAGAGAGAGAGAGAGAGAGAGAGAGAAAGTGAGAGAAAGAGAGAGAGAGAGAGAGAGAAATAGAGAGAGAGAGAGAAATAGAGAAAGAAATAGAGAGAGAGAGAGAGAGAGAGAGAGAGAGAGAGAGAGAGAGAGAGAGAGAAAGAGAGATTTTGATTTTGATTATTCTTAAGCTTATAACTCTTTCAGCATTTAATATAACGATAAAAAAAGCAACAAACATGGCTGACACCTGACAAATACATCTCCCCTCAACACCTTGTGGTACAAGAGGACAGAAAAGTTCCAATTGGTAAAAGTTTTACGGCATTCGCAACTGCATTAGAGGTGAGAACAAAGTTTTAGACAGTAAAAGTAGGAGAGAAAAATCACTTTCAACTCACTCTGATCCTCCACAATAATAACAAAAACAATCATTTTCAACTCACTCTAATCCTCCACAATAATAACAAAAACAATCATTTTCAACTCACTCTGATCCTCCACAATAATAACAAAAACAATCATTTTCAACTCACTCTGATCCTCCACAATCTCGGCGGCCGACTTGGCAGATGCCACCACATTTCCCGTCGCCCGGTTGACTGTCTTGGACGCTGCCGACAACTCGGACAGTCTCTGGCTACCTCGCTCGGCCTTGACCTTGGAGGAGACGACCAGCTGGGCCGTGCTGGCCGCGATCTCATTGGCACAGGCCATGATCTCCTCAAACTTGCCCTTCCCGCTCACAACACGGTCTGCTGTCTCTCTGGAACAAACAATAATAACAAAAACAATCAACAATAGAAATTACAAGACAAAAGCAAATAGAACAAAAAACAAAACATAAAAAATTTTTTTTTAAAACCCACACAAAACAAACCCAATACAAACCAAAAAAACCCAAAGCAACACCCCCCATGTTAATAATAATAAATAATAA